TTCGCCACTAGTTCAATATCTGGGCTGTAGCGACAAATCTTCCAAGTAACATGTCCTGGATGACACCATCTGTAGTTCACAAACACTGCCAACCACCTCCTTTGACTTTCCCTGTCTTCTTTAAATCTCTGTCTGCTGGTACAGTCAGAAAGCCTGGCAGAGAGACGCTTAAATCGTAGATATCATCCTGTAGCCATGTTTCAGTTAAACACGTAACACTTTCCTGCTGGAGTTTTCTGCCTCCTTGTTTGCTCTCATCTTGCTGTTAGGTTGCTGCTGTTTACTCCTCACTAATTCTCTGTCTTCCTTCCTGGAGGCTGTTTTTCTCTCTGTCAGGTGGGGAGGGAATCATGCACTCCTCTGCAAGCGCATTTCATTTTCCTTTCAATTGAATATTTATGCTGTTTTCAGATGATCTGTATTGATGCCTTCTCCTCTGTCCTTTATTCTGGTAATGCTGGGTAAAGAAGTCTTGGATATCTGTGCTCCAAGGATCCTGTTCTGCTATTGATGTTCTGATTTTATTGCTTCTCGCTCTATCAGGACACAGAACTGCTGGAATCGGTTTTGCATTGTGGGACAGCCGCTTCTGACAGCCAGGACTCCTGGAACAGTCGTGGCATCAGTGCAGCCGGGTCGCGCTCATGCTCGTGTTTGGGCCGGCAGGACCGGAACCGGCAGCTGTGGGAGGACGTGAGCCCGGCAGAGGAAGACTCCAGCAAGCTCAACGCCCTGCAGCTTCGTCTGGACGAGTCCCAGAAAGTCCTGCTGAAAGAGAGAGAGTGAGAAGGAAGCTAGGCTGAAGATTCACTTCCCCCAGTAACACTGGAGGATTAACGGCCGCCGTTTGCTTTGTCCTCAGAGACAAGATGGCGCTGAGTAGGAGCATCGAGAGGCTGGAGGCGGAACTCAGCCAGTGGAAACTGAAGTATGAGGAGCTCAGTAAGAGCAAACAGGAAGCCCTCAAACAGGTAGGAGTCTGGCTGATGCTGCAGCCGCTGACCTTTATTCAACCATCGTTCCCATGGAAACGCTTGACCAGCATTTGCCTCCTTAGCTTTATGGTGCTGGTGGAGATTCTCAGTCATCCAGGTCATTGTCATTCCAAAAAGTTAAACGATCTACTGGAGTTGGTTTCCAAGTTTGAAGATGTTTCTCTTCCATCCACGAAGCTTTTTCAATTCAAAATGTCAGGAATAGGGTTGATTTCCAGGCTTTTATAGAGTAGCCCAATAAAGCCTTGTAACGGCTTAGAACACATGCAGATTGAAACTGGAAAACCAGCTCTGCCCCTTAAAGGGGAACACCGTTTTTTTTACATTGGTCCCTTGATTTTCCGTTATTCCATCATGTTCTACTCACCCATATGAGTTTAGTGTCATTTGGAGCCGTTCTGAAGATATTCCGTTAGGTTATATCCAAGTAACATCTTCCTATGGGCAACGACTTGAAGGAACAAACTAAACTGTTCATCATTTATTCTTTATGGTACGACAGCATTCAGAACATGTAGGCCAATCACTGTCCCCCAGACATCCGCGGGGGTGGACCCGTTCATCTGTTTCAATTTGCATGTTTTCTAAACGAAANCTCTGCCCCTTAAAGGGGAACACCGTTTTTTTTACATTGGTCCCTTGATTTTCCGTTATTCCATCATGTTCTACTCACCCATATGAGTTTAGTGTCATTTGGAGCCGTTCTGAAGATATTCCGTTAGGTTATATCCAAGTAACATCTTCCTATGGGCAACGACTTGAAGGAACAAACTAAACTGTTCATCATTTATTCTTTATGGTACGACAGCATTCAGAACATGTAGGCCAATCACTGTCCCCCAGACATCCGCGGGGGTGGACCCGTTCATCTGTTTCAATTTGCATGTTTTCTAAACGAAACATGAGGGGCGTTTCAGTTCCACGCAGCTGAAGCTCCTAATTGATGATGCGGTCCTGGATGGAAGCACTGCATCTGGAGTACAGAGTGGTGGAAATCCCCGCCTCTGGTCTGAATGTTGGCAACATCTCATTTAAAATTTAGCAAACATCTCTATTCTAAAATGTTTTATAGGATTTTTCTAGTAAATCTTTCTAAAATGTTTCCTTTTAATCATGAAAGTATCAGGGGGGGTTTTCATCAATGTTTTAATTTTCGTTTAAAAGTGAAAACCTTCGGGGTTTCTGGTGGAAATGGACTCATTGGACGTCAAACAGTTGTTCAGCGCCGTCCTGCTGTCCCGTTCTGACTCGGTTCTGAGGTCAGACCCAGATATGTGGGTCCGCTCGTTAGCTTTAGCAGAGTTCTGTAGGGATGTGTAACCAGTCTGTCACTACCCCATCTGTACCTTTGGCTCATTTACGCATGTGCAAGCAGATATTCATCCATGTCGTCATAAACAATGAAATTATGTTAATGAAAGTGCATATTTCCGTCCTTAACTCTACAAAGAATGCTAATACTGTCAAGTGGGGGTTTGATAGGACCCAAATGCAGAGACTGTACCTGACGTGGTTTCTTGAAGATTTAATGACAAAAAGGGGAACAGAAACAAAAATCTGCAAACATAAATCCACGAAAAATCCCCAAAATACTGAAAACCAGGAATCCTCACAACAAAGGTGCAAAGAAATGACAACAAACCAGCAAAGAGTGACTGAACAGGAGGAGAATATATGGGAGAGAGAAACAAAGACCAGGGTAATCAGCAGATTGGGAGCAGCTGTGGACAGAGGAGTCTAGAAGGGAGCTAGGAAGAGGAAAAAGCTCTGTCAGATGAGCATACCCATAGTTGTTGTGCCATATCCCATGATCATACTTTTGGACATTGGGAAGCAGTGTCCATATTTCATCTTGACATGATGATGTGGAATCAGCTGTGAAATCTCTGCAACAACCCCCGTTTCAGCCAAAGCCTCCACAGGTAAGTCACATGGCAAGTCACAGAGGTGTGACCAACCACCACCCCCCTCTGTGTGAGGACAGACAAAACCACAGAGCACACAAGACTCTTCTTCTTCTGTTCCTGCTCCCTTTTGCCTCCTGCTCTCCTTGCCTCCTCTCCCTTGCCCAGGATGCTGGGGTCCGCTTTGGCTGGTTTTCCACTACAGTGGAGATGCGGGCCCCAGGGGAACCAGATCTCCAGAACCATCAAGGATAAGTCAGAAACTTTCAGAACCAAACTGCTGCAAACAGACCTTTTGCAACACATTTCTCTTGAGTTTCAGAACGTATAGAGTCAAACTGGATGAGAAGTCTGCCTTAATGAACAACTGAGACAAAGAACCCCTGGTCTCTGTCCTCACTTCTGAGCTGCAACTGGATGAAACTCAAGCTTTCTAAATGGACATGGAAAAAGGTTTGCAGGTCTGGCATGATTAGGGACAGAACAAGCAAT